GAGATGCAAGTCATTTATTAAATGAAGAAAAGACTCACGCAGCTTCTCCTATGGCAGCAAATATCGTTTTTACTGTTGATATATGGCACCAGTTAATCAGGAAGTGATGATTTTGTTCTATTTGACTCATTGGATGGAAAAACTATTTGCATGTGTTTTACAGTATGTGATATTCCAGTTTTGCGCATAAATTTAATTTGCATTTTTGGATGGAAACATAGCTATTGAAATATGCAGTCTCAGCTTGCATAATCAAGGCTGCAACAAGATACTATTGGTATTTTGTGGGTCACATGTTGTTTTCTGTTTATTTATGGTTGTGAATTGCATTATGGTAGTTTTATCTCTGCTCTGTCTACTTTTGATGTTGAAAATTTAACTCTACAGATTAACAAAGTGACTTTTATTAACATTTTAGTAGTTTAAGACAAGATAGTTAAAGGTGCAGTAGGTGATCTGCCAAAATGACAGCAGACAACCCACTAGTTTGTGTCATTCACCAGTTAGAAATGTAGTTAGTGTTTGGCCGGCGGCGTGCAGGAATTTCACTTATTACTAAGCCATGCTTACATGCTATTTCAGAGCGAATATTTAGAGTAGCATGGTAAACAGTACAGGGAGGCAGTCATTGTTCAAAAATGGCCTAATGTGAATATAAAAGCAGCTTCAGCTCAGTAAAGCAGGCTAGGTGGACCAGCGCTATTTGTTGATGTTTTGTTGTTAACTAAATAAAATCGACATTATCGATGCTCCCAAAGGTGCCTGATGAATCTGAATATAGTCACATCAATCTTTCACCGGGAGATTTCAGTGGCTGAACAACACATCTATGTATATAACCCATTCATAACACAACATGCTCTACATTAGCTCTGCATGACTAAGTTTTAAAACAGAACATTACCTGTCTAACACAAAAACTTCAGTCATGGTGTCATCCTTCCTTCAGCGTGCAAAACTCACTCCAATATTGATTCAGGAGTTTAAAAAGTCAGCAACCGCGACTGTGACTGTCTCGTAGTGGATATGCGTGAATAGAGATGCACAGAAATCCAAATCTACATTTGTTGACAGATAGTTTGAGCTACTTATCGGAATTTTGGGAGCTGTCGGCCCGACAATATTTAATTGGATGAACAATTTTTAGTCTTATGCCTTACCCAGAACATAAAAATACATTCAGATGTAGATTTACTTTAAGCATTACTATCGTACTGTGAATAGACTTTCAACCAGCACACCGAAAAATGCTTTTGAAGACAATCACCTTTAGGAAATAATAGAGTCTGTAAAATAACAGGAAAACTACTGGAAGTTTGTTAGCAGGTTTTTGTACAGTCATTTACAACAAAAACACAGACAACATATCACTTTAACCTGTTAGCAAGCACTCACTTTTGAGGATTTACCTAACTTTAAATAGTAACAGTTCTTGACCCCAGTACTGTTAAAAATGTAAACAGAAGACACTTTTTCAAACTTTTTCAATGTCAAAAGCTTTTGGAGGGAAGATCAAGATCCCATAACGGAATTCAAAAGCATAAAAAAGTCAAAAATATTAACCAAAACCATACCAGTATCAACCACGCCAAATATGGAAAACAGTTTATTTAAAAATATATTTTTTACAGTGTAGTACCATATCTCTAAATTCAGTCTATTGATAGTTTCGTTATTTATATAGACTACAAGGAAAAACGTTCTCTTTTTTTCTATTTGAAAAGAACATGCAAACTCCACCCAGATACTGTATGCCAACTGACCCAACAGAGACTCAAACCAGCGACCTTCTTGCTGTGAGACAACAGTGCTAACTACTGAGCCACCATGTCATTCAAATAAACATTAATAAAATATCAAACACTTTTTCAAAAACTAATGATTACAGGCCTGATATTTCTGCCTGCAGCCCTGCAATGTTATGCAATATTGCGCTCATATAAATAATGAAAAGGTATTACCATAAACAATGTATTTTGTGACACCATTAGCATAATATGAAACTATTAACTTCTTATTCTGTCCATGCGATATGTATATATCATCACAGTGCACAGTCCTAATTGACACCATTGGTCATTTCACTGCTAATGATCAATAGACGGCTAAATAGGACGTCCAAACAAGATGAAAAAACCTGTATAAGCGTGAATGAAAGTGTCTCCCTCTTACGGGCTATTGGCTGATTACTGGCTTAATGAGAGTAAAATGCCTTCATTTTTCAGTGCGCCTTAAACACGCAATGTTGTTACGTGTCACTCTGCGGCGTCAGACTAATGTGGTGCATCAAACGAGCATTCGCTGCTCATTAAAACGAAATGGATCATGATGGCCCGTGAAGGAGAGGCCTCAGTGAACAGATTCCCAATTCACAGCAGTGCGTTCATACACATGACTGCTCGATAGGGATGTTCACAGTTCAGCTTGACCTCCAAATATCAGCCTACTCATCTACAAAGGCCCGGGCAAGCTGCGTGTGTCATATTATTTTATTACTTGCCTATATGGAATCGCTGGCGTGTAGGAGGATGAGAATTGTGGGCGTTGGAAAAGTGCCATCTTTTAATAAACATAATTAGAGGCTTTTGATTTTCCAGACTGGATGTATAGAGATCTGGTTGGCCAGCAGATGGTATATTGTTGACGAATAACATGCTTAATATCGTTTAAAGCTGTTGTATGTAATGTCTTCCGTATGTCAACAATTGAATGACATGAGTTTGGAATATCACTGACTATTCTGTTGATTTATTTGTTGTTGATTATTTGAATTGATTCGGATTTTATTTTCAGCATTTATAAAAAAATGTCTGTGTTATTGAAATTATTGAGTTAATTGTATTTTGAAAGGACTGCCTTTTTGTTTGAAATGCACTGTAATGGTAATTGAAACTACACAGAGGAAGAGATACATGCCAATTGTTGAAATTAATTTTATGTTCTGTTGTAAAATGCAAACTTTTTCTTTTTAATTGACAAGACTGTCGTTTAAGGTTACAAAAATGACGGTTCAGTTTGCTTTTGGTACAGCAAGGTGTAGAAACATACACTGTAAAAATAAAAAAGTTGACTCAACTTGTAAGGCAACTCTCTGCAGAGCTTTTTTTAGTTGACTCAACTTTCAACCCAAATACTGCACTTGACTCGATGTATGTTAAGTCAACTCAGAAAAGCTCTGCAGCAAATTGTCTTAAAATTTTAATTATTCAACTTTTTCAATTACAGTGTAATATTGCTGCTTTTATTTTTGATTAAACAAATTGTAGCTTAAATTAGATTTAGTCATGATTACAAAAAAAAAGTATCTATTTATTATATAGCACTGCAACGATTTTCAATATTAAGGTATGTATTGTTAGCTGTGTTCACACCAGACGTGGCATGCTCAAATAAATTTTATTAGTAAATTTGCTATTCGCGTGTAAATAGACACATGAACATTTTGAGCTTACTCACTTCATTTGCGTGTCAAATTTGCTTTATTCGCGCATGTAATTCACTTCACAACAGATTCAGATTTGCATCATGGGTGGGGCTTCTGTCTGCTCTGTGACTCTAAGTTCATTGCTAAATGACTAACATGGATTTTATTGAGAGAATAGCTGTTTATGCGCTTTAGGAAGGCTGAAGAACAGCATGTATTTGTTCGGCGTCGTGTCTGAGTCCACTAGATCCTTGAAAAGGTGCACCCAGCTCTAAGTTCAACAACTTCTCCAGAAACTATACTTGGATGATGGACGATTTCAGCTGTGTTTCCAACTGAGCCAACCCCTGTCTGTGTTGCCTGTTATAACAATCTTTTTCCAGCCCAAAAACCCGGCAAAATGCACAAAAAGAATAATTAGAATTAGAATAATTAGAATAATATTTTATTTTGATTTAATTTAATTGAAATTAACTTAGTTACTTTAACTGTAATAATGTTTAACCATACAGGAACCGACACCAGCAGTCACGGAACCACAACATAACCGGATCCCATTAAAACACTGCCCTCCTCTCATCCACACACTGCACCCCTTACACTAGCTATTAAAGCATGTTTTACTTTCGAAATGGGGTATACATTCATAGCATACATTTTAAATTCTTTTGAACATAGGTGCTGCATGTCAATCAGACAACGCTTCTGTGTTTGTTCTTGCAGTCAATTGTGGAAAAAATTATTGATAGATTGTTATGATGAACAACTGTTTAACTGAGTTTAACTGCAGGCGCTGTGTGATGCGCGTGCACATGAAGGGGAGTCAGGTTTATTCCGGAAGTCTGATTTTGATACAACTTTACATCACCTCCTCTTCATTCCCTTCTTTCTTTTACACATATTAAAGGGCTCGTTCTTCCAAAAATGAAACCTGTTATCATTGACTCAACCTTTTGCTTTTCCAAACCCATAAGACTTTCACAAAATTAAGAAATTTCTGTTAAAACCTAATGTGTTTAGAACACTGTAAAAAATTATTTGTTGATTTTACTTAAAATAAGTGAGTAAACCTGTTGCTTTTAAAACAATTAGTTGACTTAACTTAAAAAAAAATGAGTAAACCCATTGGCATTATATAATTGAACATAAATGAACTGCTCATAATCATTAAAAATTAAGGTAAATCAACTTAAGTCAAGTTATAATGGGTCTACTCACTTTTTTAAGTAAAGTCAACTTGATGCCTTTAAGTTTACTCTTTTTTAAGTAAAGGATCACTTTTTACAGTGTAATAATTAAACAGTTTAATCCCAATATTTAGTTTATTATTCATGTATGAACATTGATAAATGTGCATGCATAAAGTACATCCAGTATGGTTAACAGAATAGCTTGTTTATCAGTTGATTTGGTTTATTTGTCTGGTTTCAAAGATGAAAAAAAGTCTTGCTGGTTTGGATTAACCTGATAGTCCATTAATTAGCAATGTTGACAGCATTTTTACTTTTTTGGGTGAACCATGCTTTTAATTGATGATGCTTTTTCTCATGACACTGCAACTGTTTTGTTTTTGTAGGAGAGCCCAGTCCTCCTATTCTAGAAGGGACTCTACAACCCAAAGGCAATTCTCTCAAAGTCAAGTGGATCAAACAAGATGACGGAGGGTCACCAATCACCCATTACCTGGTCAGATACAAAGCTGTAAGTGTCCGTTTAAAAATATACACTATATGAGTTTTAATGTTTTAAAAAGCCTATTCTGCTTTTGAGTTTTTATGTTTTTAGTTAGAACTCATTCTATGAGTTTTAATGTTTTTTAAAAAGCCTATTCTGCTTAATAGAGCTTCATTTATTTAATAATAGTAAATGTTGAAAAAAAGTTTGACTTGTAATGTTTTTTTTTTTGTTTGTTTGTTTTTCATGTAATTTGAAATGTAATATGTTCCTGTGTCTATATTCAAAGTCACACGATCCATCTGAAATCATTCTAACATGATTATATGTTGCTCAAGAAACATTATTATTATTATTATTATTATTATTATTATTATTATTATTATTATTATTATTATTGTCAGTAATAAAAAAAAAGCTGTTGGGCTGAATCACATTTTGTGAAAACTGATACCTTTCAGAAGTTCCATTGCAGATGTATTTCCTTTTATTCATCAAGGACATATTAAATTGTTCAAGATTTAAAGTAAAAGAAAGATATTTATAATGTAAAAACGGTGGTCATTTAAAATAAATGTAGTGATTCTTAACTACCGTTTCATCAGAGAATCCTTAAAAAATAGAAATTCAGCTTTGAATCACAGGAGTATTTGCATTATAAAACATAAGAAAGTCAAAAGCATTACTGTTTTTATTGTATTTTTGATCAATTATGACTGCTGTGAGGAAAAGACTTCTTTCCAAATGAGTTAAAAAATCAGTCACACTTTTTTCTAAGGTAAAATTCTCACTAATAAGAAACCTTAACTAAGAGTTTTAGCTCCATAAACTCCTTATTTGTTGCTTATTAATAGTAAGGTAGTTAGTAACTGGGTAGGATCATGGATATAGAAGACCATACTTTATTTACTAGTGCTTATTGTACACTGAAAAATAAATATTAATTGGATTTACAATTTTATTTTATAAGGTAAATGTTTATATGGGCTGAATTTAGACAAACAAATTAAATGTAGTAATGTTTATCCTAATTTGTTTGTTTAAATTCAACCTTATAAATTTGCAACTAGTTACCTTAAAAAAATGTAAATCCAATGAATCAATTTTTTCAGTGTACTTAAAATCTTATTAATAATCAGGTAATAAGTCAGTAGTTAATAGCGGGTATTGATACTTGCGCTAAAGGTATGTTAAAGGGTATTTAATGATCTAGGCGCACAGTCTAAAGCGCATGCCGCAAAAGCAACAAAGGCATGTCTGAATCCACTTTTGCTACTTTAAGGACTGAAAAAAAAAACACTCTGCGCCCGGCACATGGTCTAACAAGGTTGTGCTTATTCTCTTTATGAGTTATGGGTGTGTTTTGAGTATAATTTACATTAAACCAATCAAAGTCTCTTCTTACATTCCATTTATGAGTGAGTTGTGCCATGCTGTGGTGTATTCACATGTTGGACTTTGTAAGTGGAAAAATTTAATGCTTTACTAGTGAGAAAACAATTATAAAATAAAGAATGAGCCTCCTCCATTTGGCCTCTTTACTTTCTCTTTACCTTACATTTAGTGGAGTAAAGAAACGGTGCTGTACGCACTCCACTGAAGACATCTATTAGCCTACATACTGTATTTATTTTTCATTTGTTAAGTGCAAAGGTTGGTTTCAAAACTATTTCTAAATTCAGTTCTAATTTCCAGAAAATAAATAAATGAACAATAATAATGAAATATGGTCAAAAAAATTAGTTATATCCAAACTCATGTCTTATTCTTATGCCCCATATGGTGATGCAGACGTCTCTAAAATCTGACAAATGGACAAATCTAAACTTGTTTTTATTAAAATAAATATAAATATGCATACAATAAATCAGGGGTCTCAAACTCAATTTACCTGGGGGCCGCAGGAGGCAAAGTCTGGGTGAGGCTGGGCCGCATAAGGGATTTCACAAAAAAAAAAAGTCCTCAAATGTCATTATTAACAGTTTTAATTATTTCTTCTGAACATGAAGTGTCCTGAACATTAATAGAACATTGAGTGAAGATTATGAACAGTTCTTCTGAACATGGCATCTTTTGCCTATTCCTTGCTGCCAGAGACTTGACAGCGCTTCTTCTCACAAATCTGAACTACATTTGGCTTTAGAGCGGAAGCAGTTGAGACCCTCAGTATGGCTTGGGGGAACTCACTCAAAACTTCCATTCCCTCACCCACTGCAGAGTGGATGCGCGCGTACTGAAGAGCGGTGTTATTGCGCGCGTACTGATCAGCTGTGTTGTCGCGCGCGTACTGATTAGCTGTGTTGTCGCGCGCGTACTCAAGAGCTGTGTTGTCGCGCGCCTACTGAAGGGCGGGACCGAAGGTGTGCCGCGTCGCGGGGGCACTTTTGATAATTTTGGAAGGGCACTTTCTATCCAAGACTAAAAAGGACATGTGCATTGCACAGGTTGAGCCCTATGTGTGCACGTGCCTGCCCTCACCTAAAAAAAAGGCGCATATATGTATAAATAAAACACCCCCACCCCACTCCAGTCACATCAGTCTGTACCAGTCTGTATCTACCTATAATATATATAAGATGCAGGCTGTAGCTAGGTAGGTGGCAGGCTGCAGATAGGTAGCTAAGTGGCAGGCAGGGGCGGGAACAGCTTACCATGGTTCTGGCCGGCGCGAGTTCCCTCCTAACACTTCCCGCCCGTCACAGCGTCTAACAAAGGGGCGGGGTGCGTGGTGACGTCATCGGCATCCCCGCCCCTTTGTTTACACGGCGGGCGGGGAATGCCAGTGACCGCTGTGTACGGATAGAATCAGCGGAGCGGGGAGCTATAAACTGAAATAAACTGAAAATAAACTGAAAAAATAAACTGAAAAAAAAATTGTCAAGAATTAACCCCCACCCCCCCACCCCTCCGGAGATGAAGCAGTAGTTTGTATATTTAAGTAGAAAATAAAAAAAATTGTAACATTTTAATCCTTTAACTTTATTCATTTGTAAAAATATGTGTGTATTGCTGTACATCCTGTGTGTATTAAGCAGTGTGTAAGCTTTTGGACCTGATTTGATGCATAACTAACATGCTCTGCACTGAACTATAGACCAGTTTTTTGTTGGTTAATGGTGCGGTCTATTTTAGTTTCTTAAAATAGCAACGCACCAACAGTACCTTAACACTGATAGGACCCAAAATGCCTTATCCAAAACTTTTGATTGATATTGTATAATTTCCTACCTTTTGTTAGTTCTACCTTGGCTGATTTTATGCCTGTGTGTTTGGCACCTAGAGGGAAGACTCCGAGTGGAAACCTGAGATCCGTCTGCCCAGTGGGAGTGAGTATGTAATGCTGATCGGTCTGGACTGGGACACCGAGTATGACGTGTTTGTGGTGGCAGAGAACCAACAGGGCAAGTCCAAGCCTGGCACCCTGACCTTCAGGACCTCATCAGAGCCCACAGCCACCACAGGTAACCACCAACATCCATCCATCCATTCATCCATCCCTCGCTCCCTCACTCCGTCCATCCATCCCTCCCTCTGTGTCTGCGTTCTCCCTCAAACACACTGATCTGATCTCCACAGCTGACTCAGAGCTGTTATAACAGCAGACGTGTGAATGCTCCGTCCCTTCACTTACACTGCATGATAAACAGTGAGTCATGAGAGATGGCAGATCACGAAACACACGGGCTAAACAGTTGGCTCTTTCATATGGGATTGTTCTGGCCATATTTCTATAACATAAGATCAGCGTGAGACACTGATAGCAGTCATGTGTGACGGGAGGAAGGTCGAGGGGCAGTTTTGATCACAAGTTTTGATCTCACTGCAGTAAATTTTTTCGGCGTAATGAAAAGGGTTGTTTTTTGCTTTGTTTCTGCGTCTTTTAAGTTTATTGCTGTTGCAATTGTTAGAAATTCACCATCACATTGAACAAAACTAAAACTGAATCTTCATTACATGAATACATTATATTAATTACATTTCACAGACTCTTTTTACCTGCACACTTATGAAGCTTTTGTTACAAGAATAATAAGAATATTATTTGAGTTTTATATATAAGTTTTATAATATAAGTAACAATTTGCAATATGGTTGTTTTGGTTAATGTTAGTTAATGTATTTACCAACATGATCAAACTGTGAACAATGCATTAAATACAGTATTTGTTTATGGTAGTTAACATTAGTTAATGGAAATACCGTTGTTTATTGTTAGTCAATGTAAGCTCAAGGTGCATTAACTAATGTTAACAAGCATGAATTTGGATTTTAATAATGCATTAGTAAATGTTGATTTATGATTAATAAATGCTGTACAAGTATTTGATTTTAGTAAATACTTTAACTATCATTAACTAATGAAACCTTATTGTAAATTGTGATCATTTTGTATTATTTATTTATAGTTATACAGTATATCGCATGGTCTGAAGACATTCTTAATTATGATTCTGGTGAGCAAAAAAATTGCTTAATGCACAGGTAATTCCAGACAATTTTGATTTTGATTTAAATGAAGTGCACTACCATCAAACATCATTAGTCATAGGGCTGCAAAAATTTGACATTGCGATATTTTTTTCTCTGCGATATATTTTGCGATATAAATACAATTTCACCAGATGACTTAAATAACTCTATTTGGAAAGCCATTCATTTAGATTGATTGGGATTGATTTTGTAGGGAAATTAAATATATTTTTATATAAAATGTTATATGTATTTAATTAAACTACAGACATAAACACAATGGATCAAATATTAAAGTGAAACAAACAGTGCTGCATGTTTTCATGGGGATAGTGTTCGGGTACAGATATTGAATAATTAAATGTAAAACAACATTGCATTTTCTTCATCATATAAATAAATCAATACAATTAATCTTTATTAACTTCTTTATTCACTATTAAAATGCTTTACACTCCCTTAAAACGCTCACATATTCTGTCAAAGGCCTTAAAACACATGCTGATGATAAACTTTCACTCTATTATGGTTCACTTCTGCAGTGTCTCCACAAATCTTCTGTGTTTTGACCTGTGGTTTCTGGTCAACTAACCTCAACTCAACATATCTCAAGATGTTACTATTGTGGACACACACATTGCGATATCAAAGCTCAAACAATAAATTGAGCAGCCCTTATTAGTAATGTATTGTTTTAAATTATTTATTGCTGTATGTATGTGTAATTAGTGTATAAATAGCTAAATTATTTTAGATAAGTATGTTTAGATAAAAACAAAACATCTAAGTTAAAAATATTTATAATATTAAAGTTAATTTAAATTCTAAAACGACTATATAATAATCTTAAATTAATTACAGTGTTTCCTCTAGGATTTTTTCCAGCTGTGGCAGCAGGCCTTTTTTTTTACACAGATCTACCAACTACCTGTGGCGTTATGTCAATGACTAGTGTTGTGAGCGCAGTATTACAAGATCGCATTTATGTAATAGCCTACAAGCATGCAAATCTCTTCGCTTGGCTTGCACACCGATTTCCTTTGCTCGTGCACAAAACTTCTTGTACGTCCCCTTAAACATACTGTACGCTGCTCAAGCGCAGTTCTTCTGGTGCGCTCTCAAATAAACACTGCTGAAGTGCGATTTAGTGCATTTATGTAACAAGTATGTCTCCAACATTTGTTAGATTTGCTAGGAATATTTATTGATGTCTACAATAGAACTAAAGTGTGGGATTAATGTTTCCTGAAGAAAAGTGAAACAGCTTTGTCGTGTTTGCTGGCCTTACACATCACGCACCTGTCAGTCAGCCAGTCAGTCAGTCAGTCAGTCAGTCAGTCAGTCAGCACGTAACCTTAAAGGGTTAAACAAACAATGCACAGCAGTACTATGGTTACAGAAAAGTTTGCGCTGTTATAATTCTCTTACCTTTTAATACGTTTTGGTGTGATTATCTCCCGCTATTAAAAAAAAAAAAACAGGACTGAATGTTTTGAATGAAAAGCTGTAATGTAGCCATGGCGGGAAAAATTTCGGCTTGGCGCCCCACCATGGAAGAATGAATATGGCGGAAACCATGAATTAGATACACAAATGTACAAATGACAGACAATACATTGATTGATTGATTGATTGATTGGTTGGTTGGTTGATTAATTGATTGATTGATTGATTGATTGATTGATTGATTGATTGATTGATTGATTGATTGATTGATTGATTGATTGATTGATTGATTGATTGATTGATTGATTGATTGATTGATTGATTGGTTGATTGGTTGATATCTCTTTATACCTAATTCTGTATCTGCTGATATCTGATATTATACTGATATGTACTGTATGTGTGTTTTAATCAAATCACAAATCAGCTTTTGTTGGAAAATCACACTGTAAAAAAAAAAACCCTGGTTGCCTTAAATGTTTAAGCTGAATCAAATTAACCTTATGAGTCCATTGAACTTTTATTATAATAAACTGACTTATAACAGCTTGTGTAACTTATAAAACTCAGTTAGAAAATGATTAACCTAGTTTAATAAGTTACAATGACCTAAAAAACATATGCTGTCAGGATTAATCGATCATATTATTTAGTGTCATATTATCAGTGCACTGATCACCGTTAAAAAACAAAAGAAAAACAGTACGTTCGATTAGCAAAACATGTTTTGTTCAACTACAACATTGAATAACAAATCCAAAAACAGGAGACCCCCTAGCATTCGTATGCAAGTACACTCTGAATCGCTGTATGGTATAATGTTATCGACGTGACCTCCATCCACCGTTGACCAGGTTATCTAACCCTCAGCATCAGCACAGGCCAGCAGCAGCGAGTTTTCACTCCTTCTCCCCATCCTGATGGAGGATCATCTCATGCGTGCCAGAGCCACAGCTGGCCTTCACTGCTTCACTTGTAACATAACAAGCATCTGGCGCTTCTTAATGCAGAGAGACTTACTCTGTCTCTCATTAACACTCAGAGACCAGGCCTGAATCGCCGCTCTCTTTGGCACACTAGGCTGCGAATGGCCTACGTCCAAAGCCTGTTTGTCTCACTCACACCTCGGCATACAGAAGCTCCTCTAAGCATGCCAATGAAGACCCTATACCAGAACTTCACTGAAGTTACTAACGTGCTTTACTCACATAACTAATGTTAGAACAGCTTGGATGTTGGCGTATAAAGAGTCTAGAACTTTTTTTTTTGCACTAATTTAATGTAATGGTTAGAGATGCACTACAATTTGTGTATACTATTATTTGAGGAATGTTTAAAGCGGTGGTTTCCAATCTGAAGAGGGGTCAGTTTTAATGGTTACAAGTACAAATGAAGTAGATAACAATTTGGATCACTAAAAATAAGTTATTGACAGTGTATTTTAACAATTTATTAATCAGTACAAGTGTATTTAATTAAATAGCATCTTCTTTTGTAGCATTAAGCATTACATTTTCTGTCTTTCTATTAATAGTTTTTTTAGTCACATGACCTTTGCGGAGACCTGGCAGGCAAAAACAATGGGCCATGATGGCAGCTAAAGGATCTTCATAGAAGCACAGGAAAAAACAATCATATTTCAATCTGTTTCAAGCTATCATTATTTGGATCACCCATCAACAGAACAAAACAGAGATATGATCACAAACTGTACTTTTTGGGCACTTGCGATTTATATTCTAAACCCGCAGCCATTTTTCAGTCATTTAAAGCTACCATATCCTTATCATTTGTACAATTCGTCGATACTTAGATATTCCTCTGTGATTTAGTCATTGGTGACAGCATTATGTTATGTTAGTGCATTATAATATAATATGTTATAATATTAAGTATTATAGTTTGTCTAATTTCACTCGTGCCCCTCCCAGGCACCGCTCCCTCCAGACAAAATTATAATGCATGTGCAGACATCATTCACATATTACTTGCTGCGTTTAAAGTGTGTAGAATTAATTACATTAAAACATAAATACTTTATCTGATTCAGTGTGATGGCTGAGCCTGTTTCTGTGAGGACAACATACTAATCTGTGGTGGGATTCCTGACACGACTAACCATAAATCATCTTCCATTGTCAATAAGCATGAGCCAGATCATACTTGCTTTTGATGTACATACATACAGAAAATGCTGCTTTGCAAAGCCAAGATCGCAAAGCACTGACGGTGTGGTTGAGTCGAACATATATTAACATAGGGAACAACTTTAATACGATTTTAATACGATTAAGACAATACTCTGATTAAGAGTCTACCATGTAAACAGCGATTTTTGATTCATTTAATCCGACTAATCTCATAATAACTGAACTAAACAGAAATGGAATTAAGACATGTGGAGTATACATATATTAGTGACATTATTGAGATAAACACCGCAATCAAACTATTACTGTCATTTAGGACTTTTTGCCGCATTTTGTGACAAGATCCACACACACACGGCTGTCAGAAAAGGGCCACGCACGCGCACACATATACA